GGGCGCCCGCGCAGCACACATCTCTGGCAATGCTGCAGAAAGGAAACCAGCTTTTGGTTCGGGAACTGATGGTTCTAATTCCTGGAAACGTGGCTGCAGATCAATTTCACAGTGCTTTTTGACTTCTTTTTCCAATGGTTCTACAAATTTTGGGAAATTTCCCTCCTCGGAGCTGCCTCGCAGTAACAGAACTCTGCTCCAGCATTTGGGGTTCAGTTGGGTTCTGCAGCCCAGGAGGCACCTGCAGGACCCCCCGACCCCCATGCTGGTTGCTCACTGGATGCCTGCACTGCCACTGCATGTGCAGAGAAAGCGAGCCCGCAGCTCCTCCTGGATTGGGGCTTGAGCCTGCTCCTCTGAACCCAGTTTGCACCCAGCTCTGTTACAGCCAGATCCATTCTCTGCTTCATGCAGCCCTGCGAAGATGAGAGCCAGCACAGGGCAGTGGGGAAAAAGCTGAGTGTGGGATGTGGGAAGGGCTGGAGGGGCTGTGGGCACCAGGTGCTGCCCATCAGGGTCCCACCCTGCAGCAGGGAGCAGCTGCAGAGCTGGGGCCCATGAAGGGAGTTCTGGGACCGCAGCTGAGCTCAGCTCTGCTCTGGGGCTGTGCTGAGCACCCTGTGTGTGCTGGGGCCTTCCTGCTTGCTGTGCAGACCGGGGCTGTAGCTGATGCAGAGGAAGCAAGTGGCAGCCGCTTGGCCCGTCCTTCGATAAGATTTCTTCTTTCCTGAAGAAACGAGAGTAAGAATAGGCAGGCTGTTTGGCCTCTCCTGACAATGGAACTTTGTCATATCTATAATTAACTCTGTTATTTAAATACTTCTTCTGTGAACATCTTTGAAGATTTCCTCGCCCTTGGTTTGCTCATTGCTTTGCCATTCCTGCTTCCTGTGCTGCAGTAATTTACGGGGCCATGACTAATTGCACTTTTCCATTTAATTGAGAACTTATTTCTGATTTGGCCTCTGTGTGTGTAGCTGTAGCTTGTGTGGCCTGGTTGGTGCCTTTCTGCAGCCCCAAATGCACCTGACGGCTCCCAGAGCTCCCTGGAGAACTCAGAGAAGATGTTTGGCCCACATCGTTTCTTTTCCTCGGGAGGCTCTCAGGGGGATGAAGCCCCCTCACCCGCTCTGGGTGGGATGCAGCCTGGAGCAGCAGCGAGGGAGCGCACAGCCCTGCCTTGGCCTGGGAGCTGCTGCATGCACGGATCTCTGTGTGTAAGCTGGGATGTCTCTTTCTGTGCAGTGCTCCCACTGAGCGCCTCTGGGCACTCAGCTCCCTGACCCTGTAGCTCCTTACCCTCATCTCTGTGATTTGGAACAAAGCCATCCCCAGGCGCCTCGAGCACACAGCCCCTGTCCCCGTGACGTGTAGAGCAGTCCCCATCGTGCTGCAGACAGCAGATAATAATGCATGGCTTTGTTTGTCCCTACGTGCCTGCACAGCGCCACTAATGCTGCAGTGTGAATGGTGCTGCACAGAGGGGCTGCAGAGGGGTCACCACGGCCCCAGTCACAGTGCTCTGCTGTTGGGTAGCGACCTCTGAGTGCCACAGATTGAGCACTGATCCTCAGAGAAATGCTTCTGTTAAAGGCTGGTTGATAAAGGGACTGAACTTGCCCTGAAAATAGGGAAGTAGAAGGTGATCGACACTGTGCTGATGTTTGCTCCAGTTCTCTGCCATGGGAAGTGCCCCCTGCATGAGGTTACTGCTGCTGTGTGTGGGGCTGTCCTGGTTAGCAGAGCCATGGGCTCAGGGGTGCAAAAGGCACTCAGTGCTTACCCAGAGGGCTTTCTTCTGCCTCGATCAAGGAACCAAGGCAAGTCAACGTGGGATGGCTGCAGGCACAGGGACAGCAGTGCCGGGAGCAGGTTCTGCTCTGTGCTGGGACATCTGCCATGGAGCTGGGCTGGGGCAGGTGGGTGCGGGGGGCCCTCTGCCACCAGCAGGGCTCAGGCTGACTCACAGCACTTCCCGCTGGTGCTGCTGCTCAGAATAAACCAGTGGCCAGACCTATGTCCGTGGGAGCCACGAAGACTTGGTAATACAAGCAGCAATGAACAAAAATTAAAAGGATGTATTTTCTTTGAATCAATTGGAGGTGAGCTGGGCTGAGCTGGGAGCCTGAGTTGTCAGCCACACAGAGATCTGCTGGGTGCTCTGAGGAAGGGGAGCTCCTGGTGCTGCTCTGGAGTTGTGCTCACAGCAGGTGTGACTCAAGGATTTGCTCCCTCCAAGGCTGCCAGTACAGAAGGTCCATTCATGCCCTTTGGTTCGCAACAAGGAATTCACACAGATCCTTTGTGATGGTTAATATATTATCTGGATGTTTTGTGTGTGTGTGTGCCATATACAGTGCTTCATCTGTGCCTTGTGCAATAAACAAATCCATAGCAGCAAGAAAGATAAAGTAGTCATGTAATAATGGCTTGTGATACCAAGTCAAGTAATAAATGGACCTTGAGCATTGCTGCTTGAGGGCAAATCTGGGAATCCTCTCCTGCAGCACCTGGGCTCTGATGTTCCAAATACCCACCGCAGCTTTACAGAAACATCTCTGTGTGCCCAGCCCATCCACCCAGTCTGGCTGAGTTTGTGGCCCCAGAACTGGTGCTGGTGTGCGGAGGGCTGGGTGCAGCAGTGGGGCTGACAATATTGCAGCCTACGTGGAGGTAATGACTGTGGCCCGCAGCCTTGCATCCACACTGCTTGTTATTTGATATCAGAGCAAGCCTAACTCAGTAGAAAACATTCATTTTTATTATTTTTAATGCTGGATTAGCTTTCTGCTGACGTTGCTCCCTGGGCCAATTTGCTGCAGGACTGGAGAGCCAGGGAACGTGGCAGCGTGTGGCAGAGCACAGCACTGTGGGACTGATGTGCACCAACAGCAAGAAGGTGCTGCAGGTGACGGATGGCCGGGAGCAGCCAGGGATGTCTGTGGGTCTCAGTGGCAGCATGGCCAGTCCTATTTGGTGCCCAACCGACTGACCTGCTTCAATGGAAGATGGCCAAGCTGCTTAGAAGAAATAAAAGTTGAAGCAAGCAAATATCAGGAGGGACGTGAGCCTTTACCCGCAGGCAGGAGGATGTGGAAGTTTTATTGTTTTTCCTTCGGTGGTGTTCTTTTACACTTTGGATGCACAATCCCAGCAAAACTTGGCTGGGATACATCCATGGCTGCTTCCCACTGCCTGCTGCCCTGCTCTGCTCCTGCGTGCAGAGCTCGAATACACTGATGAATGCAGCGTAAGCAGGAAAAAGGGGAGCACAGCACGACTGGATGCATTCATCGCTGCCCGCGTGGGGCCTTGTTTGAGTCCTGTGGTGTGTGTGATATTTCATGTGACAGAGCTTTGCAACGCTTCAACTCTGTCCTGTCCACAAAATGACAGTCTGAGCATCATTGCTTTCTATAGATTTGGAATGGTGGCAAAAGAAATTTAGCTTCCAGCCCCAGATATTCTGATCCTCTAAGGCGGTGTCCTACAAACCCAGGTACGGGCTCTTCTGTATTAGCTGCAAGTGCTGGAACACTTTCTTCATAGGAATGATAGGGATGTGGAAGGATAAAACCAAAATATGCGCTGCTGAGGTTTGTACAGCGTAGAAAAAAAAGGAGCATAATCCAAATAACAACATCGAGTGCTTTTACAGGGCTCCGTGCATATGGCATAAATGACAGCTAATTAAACTTTATATCCTGCCTGCAAGATAAGCATTAATTAGTATTACATCCCTTCTGTAATTAGGAGACCGCATGCAAAAAGCTGCGCCTGCAAACTGCGCTGGGAGGCGGTGACTCAGCCCCACTCAGGCTGCGCTGCGACGGCTGAGAAGGTCGCGCATCCGACCTGCCGGAGCGGGCGCTGAGGTGGGCGGCTGTGCCACGGCCCAGCGAACACGGCTGGATTCACTTCCAGCACCGCCCACCCCGCCGCTTTGTGCAGAAGCGCCCGCTTTCCCGTCTGCAAAAAGCTCCGGCTCGGCGGTGCGTTTCACGGCTGACTGGACAGGAATGCCGCCCGGCCGCCGCGCTCCGTCCGGGCTGGGTCTGCCTGCAGAGCGGGGTTCTGCCCGCTGTGCTGAGCGCTGGGAGCGGCGACCAAGTGATCTCTACCCTGAAAGCGGCTCCCGCCGGCTGCACGCGGGTGGGCTGGGCCAGCCGTCCCGGAGCGCGTCTGCCCACCCTGCCGCGGGGCTGGGGGCGCGCTGCTGGGGACGCGCTGCAGGCGTTCGCTCGGCTGTTTGCCACCAGAACGCGCGTTCTCACACCCACGGGGCCCGCACCGCGTGGCTGCCAACGCAAAACCTGAGAGCAGCGGGAGCCGCCCCGTGCCCGAGGTTCATCCCAGGAGCTCGCGCCCGCCGCGTTCATCCAGCAGGGCGGCCGTCGCACGACGCGCTGTAAGGACGGGGTAGCGGGGCCTGGCGGCGCGTCCCGCCAGGCAGTACCAGCGCCGCGCCTCAGGTGCCGCCTCGCGGGCTCATTAACGGGCGCAATTAACGCGGGCAGCAGCACGGCCGCGGGCGCAGACGGAACGAGACACGTGGACCGCGCGGCGCGCGCAGCCCCGCGAGACCACCCGTACCGCGCTCACACCGCCCCCCATTGGCTGTGCGGGCGGAGGAGGCGGGGCCACGGCCGCGAGGGGCGCGGCGAGACGCGGGCGGCGTGGCGCCGCGCTGCGGGGTCGCTCATTGGCTGCGAGAGCGGCGGGGGCGGGGCCAA